CGCCCCTGCCTGCCCCGCCGAAGCCGCCGGCCGCCGTGCCCGGACCTCGCGGCCCGGCATGAAGACAGCCCAGGACGCGGGCGAGGAGGCGCCGCCAGGCGTGCAGTCCGCCAAGGTGGTCCTGGTGGGCGACGGTGGCTGCGGGAAGACGTCGTTGCTGATGGTCTTCGCCGAAGGGGACTTCCCCGAGGTGAGTGCCACTCCTACCTGGTTCGCAGCTACCCAGGAGGTGCACCGCCTGGCCTCCCAGAGGGTCCCCCGGGAGATTGGGGCCAACCAAGGGCAGAGTTCCCTTCTCTCCCTGCCACCTGGCCTCAGGGATGTCGTCTATAAAGTGGGGAGAATGGCACCCACTGGGAGGGGTGTCGCGGGAACTGAACTAGCCTACCTGGATACGAGGTAGCCAGCCCTCAAAGTGCAGTTGGCGGCATAGTATGGTTGAGGGGCTCACCAGGAGCCAGGCTCACCGGGTTCCAGTCATGGCTTTGCCACTTACAGCTGTGTGCCTTTGAGCAAGCCTCCTACCCTCTCTGTGCCTGCCTCCTTAACTGCATAATAGGAGTAAGGACAATGCTCCCTCTCAGGATCACTGTGGGGAGTGGGTGAATACAGGTCAAGCCTCAGCTCTAAACCTGTTCACAGTAAGGACTCGCTGGAGGTTGGCAAAGGCCATTTCTTGGGAAACATTGGCGCTTCCCCCCAGCTCTCGCCCATACACTAGGCACCCAGTGAGCTCTACCTGAGGACAAGAGCACCCTGGCTCTGGAGTCAGACCACTGGGTTGGCACCTCGACTCACTTGGAACTAACCGTGTGGCCTTGTCAGTTACTTGCTTAGCTTCTCTGAGCCTCATCTTCCTCACAACAGCCTCATGGGTTGGAGGTGGAAATCAGGAAATGCTGATAGATGATGGCTCCGCGAGGTGCCTGGCATGTCATTGGCACTCTGGGGATGTGACCATCGGCCCTTCACTTCCCTACAAGCACTGACTGTCCAGGTGGACTCCACAGGTTCTGGGACAGGGGCAGGGGCAGGCGCAGGGGCTGGCGCAGGGGCAGGGGCAGGGGCTGGCACAGGGGCTGGGGCTGGTGCAGGGTCAGGGTCAGGGTCAGGG